CTATGCTACCAATAAGAGTGTTGGTATAGGACATCAAGTTGGAGATCATCGAGCGCTTTTTCAAGAATCCATGCTGGAACTCCGAGATTATAGATTGCACAGCTGGATACAACTTGTCATGTGGCCAAACAATTAAGGATCGAGATAGGTCGGTTGTTTTCCACGCTGTGAACGTTACCTGACTTGAAGATCGGTGTAATTGATGCAAACTTCCAGGAATCCGGAAAACGCCATCCTGGAGTGAACGATTGAAGATAGGCATAACGGGTGTGACCAACGATGCTGCACAATTCATGATGAAAGACGTTGGAATATGATCGATCCGGACCTGGGCCTTTCGATGCATCCTGAATCGATGCATGGCTGAAGTTAAGTAACTGGTCGATGTACTGCTGCTGCGAAGGAGTTTGATCGAGTTTGAAAGCGAAGAGGTTTGCAGAAGTGTCATTGGTGGAAGAGCTTCGATTACAGTAGGTGCCATCTGCCGGAATACCAGCTGATCATTTGCGAGCGTTTACGAAAGACCAGAACGACGATGAGTTTTCTTTGAAGCCACTCTGGAAGTTATCGATAAACTCACGAAAGCGAACTTCATGCAAACTGTCGTACTCGGCTTCTGCAAGCTACGCATCATACTTGTTTTCAGCAGTCCTGGAACGAAAGTAACGTTTACGGGCCTTACGCAGACGGTTACGCAGATTACGCAATTTCGGATTCCACCACGGTTGTTGGAAATGCATAGAAGGTCTACGAGCCTTTACCGGAACAGATAATGGATTATTTGATAAACATTGTCATAGAATACGGACACGGTGGTATCAATGGTAGGTAAGTTAAGTAATTGCATCCAATCCAACGCTGAGATCCTTGCATTAATAGCATCGACATAACACCGTGCGAAATTGTACTCAGCTGCTGGATACGATGACGGATGGTCCCTCGAACGGATATCAACTTTCAAAACTAACGGCTTATGATGGTGATCAACTTTCAAAATGGTAGGTGGTGGTTCAAACAGCTCAATAGGATCTGAATTACTGATGAGAACCAGGTCGAGAAGTTTACCATTCGCGTTAACCAGATCGTTGATTTGCTTAAGTCCTGCAGACAGTAAGGACTCGAGTACAGCAAGTTCCTGTTCAGATGAAGCATTGAGATGTAAGAATCCTTAGAGATCCTCATCGTCAGGTTGTAATCACCCATAACTATAGTCGTATCATTAGGACTAGCCATTTCAAGAAGCTGTTGTACGGAGACGGCGTGCTTGGTTAGGTGTCGAGTTGAAGAAAAGCGATTGGTGTGGTAGTATACCCAAAGAAGAATACTAAGATGAAACTGTCGGAAGAAAAACTTTCTATTTTAGTGTCCTTTTTCACGGTCCCTTTCATCCAATGAATACCCCCCGTATGCAAGGTAATTTTGTGGTTTTGCTGCCCCCTTCGGTAGAGATGAAATTTTGCGCACTTTTTTATCAAAACAATCACACCAAAATCAGAGATGTCGCATTTTTAATTACTCGATTAACAACTAATCAATTATTTTTTGTTCACTGTGCTGTCATTGTTCCACCAATTAGTGTGCAGCACATGTTTGAAACGATCGGTGATGATTCTCTGGAGAAGTTAATGTTTATATAATATATATTTTACTTTTCGGTTCGTTAATCGACTAATCGATTATTCGAATGAAAATCGGCCTTGATGAATGTGAAACGTCATTTCAAATTTAAGGACCGTACATAAATAATGATACAATTTGAAAAGGATCGGGGATAATCACAAATTACGTCCCCATGGTAACTGTAATAAACACGAGTGTTCACCGGTTGGTATAACTTGCACAGCAATTTGTTGTTTGATTCAGATGCACGGCTTTACAATTCAGCACGGATTTCATCACATATTAGCTTATTGCGTGCTCTCAAACTTAGTGTTCAAGATGCACTTCCACAGTTATTAATTGAGAGCTTTCGATGCCTGTACCATTTTTGCATTAGTATAACTGCATGGCAAGTACAATCATACTCTATGCCCAGAGAAGTCGAGAAACTTTCCAACCCGAAAAATCCCTAGACCGAACCGGGAATCGAACCCAGCCACCTCAAGCATGGCTTGCTTTGTAGCTGCACATGTACCGACTAAGCTAAGGGAGGTCTAAGATCAATGTATCGACTTCAAATGAGCAAAATTTCATATACAAGGTGCGTGACGAATTTTTGCAGTAAATTTCAAATAGTAATTTCTCATGCTTGTGCATCATGATTTAGATATATTTGGCAGCACTGGATAGCTTATACTGTTAGGTGTAAGATTTAAACAAACAATGTTGAGTAAACGTAAAGATGTCGAAACAAGAGAGCAATCTGTCAGCCGTTGTCGCTTTGTTGCGCGCCAGAGTATGCATGAAAGAAATAATTCGGTCGGCACAGAAATGGCTTACGGAAAATATTTCGTAAATTTGGGAGGAAGAAATTTGGCCGTCCAACTAGATACCAATAGAACCCCTCACACCACACTTAAGTCGCTAAAAGCTTAAATCAAGGCAGTGATGACATCTATGGATCGAAACATTTTAAAACGTGCATACTGCAGTTTCCGGAAGCGTCTAACTACAGTCGTCGAAAGGGAAGGCAATTTTTTTGAATAAATTTACTTACAACTTCCATATGTTGCGAAAGAAAATAAATCGCACAAAATTCATTGCTAGAATAACTAACTGGTGTATTTTTTCTCAAATATGCCATTTACTGCAAAAATTCGTCACGCACCCTGTAATTGTTTCATTGTATATTAAGAAATCGAAATTTTAAAAAGCGCTTCACTAAAATTGCTCATATATGCAGATTCTGTCAATCAGATCCAAAGCCATCGGAGTTTTTTGACATCGGTGCACCTTTCTACATTCATCTCAATGAAACATCAATAGTATCAGGGGCCATATTATGGCTGTGTTCCATTTGGTGATTTTTCACTTAAATTTGACAGATGATTTTTTTTTTTCAAACAAACCTGCTATTCTACCAGACTTATTTCCGACAGATAAGGAATCGGCCGATCGACAACAGAGGATTTTTCAAACCTTTCAGTTTATTTTCGAAGTGTCAACGTTAATTAGAAATTCACCAAATGGAACACTGCCTATGTAGCATGTACGCAAGTCGAAACAGCTTGTTCGTACCTACTAAACAGCAAACACATATCTGTTGAAACCTTTTTTTTAACTTTATCAATACAACGTCAAATCAGATAATGCTTGGTGCTAAAATTGATGCAAAAAATTGCTCATTTTTGGAAGTATTGTTTTAACTAAACAATTTTCAACAAGATAGATTCAATAGATTCATTGCCCGAAAAATGTTGTTTTCTTTTCGTGACGCCATATTTTCGACGTGATTGAAGTGTATTGTCTTTGATGCGATAGTAATTTTTATTTTCGAAAAACGCTTCCTATCGGCTTCCATAATCGGGCCCCAAGATTGGTTTGACCAAAATGAAAGTAGTGGTATGACATTTTTCAATTATACTGCAGGACGTCATGGTCTCCAGGAATTCCCCAGCATTATTTTCTCAAATTAACCGTTCACTGTTGGATACGGGGAACTGATAACACAGACTACCTTCGTTTGCAGAAAACAAATTTAAGTTATCAATACTAGAAATAGACAATATCGTTCTTTATAAATAATTTTCCATATCTACATTGAATGAAACTGCTTTTGGAATCTTTTGTCATGATTTTCGCACTGCTATCAGGCAATAAAGGAAAAGTGTGATAGAAAGTCTTATGGGCTACCCACATTAGATCCGGATCTGACGCGTCTAACTGTCAAATTTACGTCATCTAATCTAATGTGGGTGGCCCTTTATGATCCTCCATTCGCTGACGTTACTGAATTCTCAGCAATGCATGTGCAAGTTGCATTATCACTCCCGAGGATGTTTGGTGTAGGTATAGATTGCTGTCGTGAGCGTTTGTAGCGTAAATTTGTGCTCGCGCTGCCTGTTGCCATACCACATACCACATCACTCAGAGAAATATAGGAAAAACAACTATGAGGATGAGATCTGCTAAAGCTCCAACCGCGCAGTCATTGCGATGGTGATGATGGTGTGGTGGTGGTGTGACAAAGTGTTTTTGATTTATTTAATAATTACGTTGATAACGTGTAAATTTTTCGTGATAACCGTCTACACAAACAAATTGCGCTCTCTTGGGCTGTCGCTCTTTTTCTCGCATGGCTTGTTATATGGCTCGCATACTGATGCGATGCATAGAGTACCGTCAGGGGATGATGGTGGGTTGGTGCCTGATATGATATGACTAGCTTGTTGATTCGTTTTCGAGGATTCACTATGGTTAAGTCGTCGGTTGGGTGTTTGTTTGTTTAATTATTGCCAACGAGGATAGGATGCTCCAGAGTGAATGGAAAGTGGATTTCATTTAAGAACTTTTGACCCATTTAGTGAGCCACGAACAGTTGAACCACGTGTAGTCTGGTATAATGGGGACGTAGTTTAAGCGTTCGCCCCCGTCAGATTGTAGTACGAAGAATAATAGGCCACACAACTAAGTTTGAACTTGCATCCCTGTTATCGCATGTTGTTCAGATCGTGAAACCTGTTTGTTAGAGTGATACCACCGTCAGTCTAGTGTGCTGGCAGTTTGTTTACGTTTGAAACGCAAAATTAAGTCGATTCTGTTTTGCTGGTGGAGCGCCAGAGCGACAGGCTTGACAACAATGTCCACGTGAGTTCACTAGATCTACGGCAGCGGTATTGTCAATGCTCGAATCGGTGGTTTGGAATAAATTTAGCATAAACCGGTCGTTGAAATGTGCGAAGCGTATGGGAATGAGGAAATCATGGACAAAGATTTTTTGCGAAAAAAGTTGAAATGTTTCAATGCCAGCGTGAACAACACCCATAACGATTTAAGTAACTTCTATCGAACAGGGTGGTTTTAAATACACACATTTACGTTTTATTCATTTTTGATTACAGGTTCAATGCGCTGGCCCGAAGAGTTAGACCTAGACTTAAGTAACGAACTTTCAAATAATGGATATATCAGGTATGTATACTTTACATTAATTATTGGTTATTTAGACTAATGTTTGACATATGGTTTACAGTGACTCATTGCTGAACTTCCCAGTCTTCAAACAAGAAATACCTTCTCCACCCCAGAAACTTGGCCATGAAGTGATAAAAAGTACTAAAAGTATTCAAGGCTCAAGTTCACAACCACAGCAACAACAGCAACCACAACACCACCAACAACATTCACAACAACATCCGTCTCATCATCAGCATCACCAGCATCAGTTGCAAAATTCAGACCAGCTACAATCACAGCAACAACAGCAACAAGAACAACATCACAGCCAAGGAGATCCGCAGCAAAGCTTGAGCAGCAACAACAATGGGGTGCAACAGCCAGTGGTTGGTAATGAACAGGAACTGGTGCCAGGAATGGCCGGTAATGGGACGGGTAATATTGGCAATATGAGTGGATTGCAGAACTTTATGCACAACAGCCGATATGATAGTACAGGTGAGTGAAGTTGCTTAGTTTTGATGTTTTGATGAAGTGATATGGACACTAGTGGGTCAAGTTTGTATGGCGGTTAACGACCCGCTGCTCTTTCGATTTGTATTGAGGTCCCCTAGAACTGTGCCAACTGTGAACGAAATTGGTTACGATCCGGATCGCCGGAAGAATTTTAAATTTGGGTGGGAGAATGTATTGTTGTTTGGGACCTCAATACAGATCGAAGGGGCAGTGTAGGGGATTGTAAAAAAGTTGACCAACTCTAATTGACACTCATGATGGTGAAGCAACATTTGAAAAAAAGATTTGATCGCCTATTGACCTTTCTGACGTTTCTAACTCGCACACTTGCGTAATCCCATTTTCAAGTGCGAAGTTTGTTATCCTCACTTTCACTTCAGCCAAAAATGCTATCCTCACTTTTGGACCATCACTACTCGTGCGCATAGAATGGACTATAACAAGTTCTTTTTGACCACTACAAGCACAGATTTTAAATTCTTAAAACTATGATGTTCTGCTCATGATTTGTTTTTTGAATTTTGAAAATGAAGCTCGAAGGTGCTATTTGTTAGAAGTTTTTTTTTGTACTCATTCGGTAGCTCTACTTATGAACTTCTAAACGTCCAAATTGCATGGATGGACCTCGTTAATGGAACAAGGAAAACAATTTTAGGCATGTGAATATATTCATCAATGATCAACAACTGTTTTGAAAATGGTTGATAAAATTGATATCTAATTTTGCTAAACTTAGTTAAAAATAGACTAAGAATAAATAAAAATACAGGTATATATCGATATAACGTAACTGTCATTTTTGACTTCCATCTTCAATATGACCGAGGGGACGACTCTATCTAAGATGTAGGAAATTTTTGCTTTGCTGTTGTGAGATGCACTCGCGCTTAATAGATAGAAACACGATTGATTATGATTTTGAAGATTTCCTGCAAAAAGGTGGAGAGCGATGCGAGTAACCCATCTACTCGCAAGAGATGAAAAAAGATTTTTCGTAGATTGATTCGCTACCCGAGCAAAGGATTATACCAAAATGATAACACGTTCTGATACCCGATTATCAAGATTTGATAACTGAACGTGTTATCATTGTGGTTGAATAAACAGCCAACATAACAAAAAATATAACAAAAAAGTACTCCTTGGATATCACAAAAAATACTGATTTAGTTATCATTGAAAACATCTTGATAACAAATTCTGTGATCCATGCAATTTTATTCAACAAATTTAAAAATAATTTATCAATTTGGTGTTAAAACCTTACACTGATAACTGATATATGATTGTCAGTGTTTTTTATTCCTATTTACCATGCGGATAATATTAGAAGTTTTGAACTTACCTTGCACCATTTCGTATTCTTTCATGATAATAACTGATACAAAATTAGTCGAGGTTGATAACTAGATTAGTAATGTGATACCAACTGAAAACAATATGATGTCTGGAATAACAAGACTTGTTCTCAAGATGATATCAGGTTGTTATTTTACTTTGCTCGGGTAGTGTGAGATTTTTCGACCATTTAAAATCAAGATTTAGATGTGTCGCACCCCTCGAAAATGATAATGTGCGGGAAATCGACGATGGAAGTCAAAAGTGACAGTGACGTTATATCAAGGTATACCTGTACACCAATTTATTCCGATGCGATCGCAATGAATTGACCAGTCAGTACTCACGCGCTAATCGCGGTTAAAACCAAGATGATTTGTGAACATGTTTCTTTGCCCAATTGCGACCATCTCGAACAAGTGGTAAGTGTAAGGTCTGGGCATCATGTGCTTTACATTATCAGCATTTATCTTCCACCGAATTCATGCATCAACGTATATTCAGCTCAATCAAGTGCAGTTCAGCATATCTCAAACCGTCCTTCAAAAGCTGATGTCGTTCTATCCGTGGCGTCATTGTACCCCCTACTCCACTGTTACCCGTTGACAATCATCACTTGCCATTCGTTTTACTACTCGACGAGAGCAGCGACGATCTGGCTGCAATGGACGACCGAGACGAGAGTTTAAACGACTTCCAAGCATGCGACTACGATCTCCTGAATAATGTACTTGCTGGTATCGACTGGGATCTTCAACTGCAGACCGAAGCAGTGGACGAAATAGTTGCAGCTTTGTATGACAAGCTGTACGAAGTTTTCATCGTACATGTGCTCGGTAAAGGCAACCGATTACCTTAGCCTTCAGTAAACCATGGTGGACTTCTGAGCTGATACATTTCCGTAACAATGTAAGGAAACCAAGCAACCGGTTCTTCCTGACAAGGATTGAACGACAGAGCTAGCATTTGCGAAGTAGAAACGATTTATAACGAATTTCTCTTCTCCATGTATAAAAACTATCTATCAAGGATTAAGTCGAGCGTTTCTGGGATTTTGTTGGGAAACAAAAATCATCCGCCCGTATTCCAAGCAACGTTCATTACAATGGAACTCATGCTTGTATTAACGTTGAAACAGCTGTTCCATTTGCTAAGTTTTTCGAGAATATGTACACCAGTGTGTCACCTGTACTTCGACATTACAGCTTTGCTCATATTTCTTCACATAACATCACTCTTCCTGTTATCCAGGTTTCTTCAGAAGAAATACTGAAATCTCTAGAAGGTATTGACACAAACAAGGTGCCCGGGATGGAGGCATTCCCCAATTGGGTTCTTTAAGGGTATTGAGGTAAATGTATGTTCGTAATCTTCATTAGAAATGGAACCCAAACCCAAAATTTCATCAATTTTGGTACACTGGAACTATTTTAAATAAGTACGATTACATTTGCAAAAATCACCTTATTAGCGCCCCTCGGTGTCACTTTGTATGGGAGCGAACTGTCAGTTTGTAAGTTTAGTGTCAAACAGTGAAGTTATTATTTTGCTTTAAATCTTGATTTAAAAATCGAGATGAAAGTGAGTGGATTCGAAAAAAATATCGCTGTGCTCAGAAAACGAAGTTCTTTCAGATGATATATAAAAACCGATATATTTTTCAAAATTAAAGAACTCAATTGCTTCTGAAAAATTGTTCTTCCACACTAGCATCCCCAATTGCTCGTTTATTCAGTAGCTCGCTGCAGAGGACAAGACTTTCCCGACTGCATAGAAAACGGCATCGATAGTACCAATCCATAAATCCGGCAGCTGAGATCGCGTTCATAACTAAACTTTGCTGTCTAAGCAAGGTTTTAGAAAAGTTGGTGCACAAGGTTCTGTATAATGCTGCATCCTCAATCATCTGGGAAAACCAGCTTCATGAAACATCGGTCTACAGGAATAAATTTAATATGTTATGTCACAGCACTGTCTCGTGAAATAGACGCGGTTTATGTTGATTTTGCAAAAGCTTTCGACACTTTTTCTTCCCGATTGGATAACAGAGTGGCTTTTTTCGTACTTGCCGAATCGGAATGCTTATCTGGTTGTTAAGTTTGCACGACTTTACCGACGTCTATGCTCTAAAAACACTCTACTGCTCGTTGGTGCGTAGTGTCCTGGACTACGCTGCACCAGTTTGGTATTCGTGAACAAAAAATCACGATAACCTGAACTGCTAGTTCATTTGAATGCATTACTTAGTTTCCGTAAAAGTGATCGAGTAAAACACATTTTCATGAAATAAATTCCAAATCTATGTACTTAGTTGACGCCTGTTCTGCGCGATCAAAGATTTCGTAACGCTACAGAAATCACAAAATAAAATCATGATTTCGTGATCCATGAACTCATAAATGTGATTTTCGTGCCAGAAATCAAGAAACTTTGATCACATGCAAAGTTTCAGCTGTCATTTTCAGTTGTTGTTGAATTTATCCTTACAGAGTGCTCGTATCCGTCAAGAATAGTGTGTTGTTCATTAGTGAACGCAGCTGAGCCGTATCATCAGAATGGTGGTCCGGCACAATGCCAGCGGCTGGGAAGTGTCATCAAACTGGCCGTAAACCTCAAAGAAAAGGATCCCCGAACGCATCTGGTGTTCTTGCTCCCGCCGCTCCAATAGAAATCGAAGGTGGTGTTGATTTGTTGAGCTGAAAGTGTGTCCATTTCATCTGCTGGACAGATGCCTGCTGCCAGTTTGCGGTGTGGGCGAAACTTGCATCAAGTATTCCGTTGTTTTCCTTCCACTTCCTCACTCTATTTATAATATTGAAAATTATTTTAATGTTGACATTGTACAGTCCATGAGCCATGTTTTCGAACAACTCATGGACATAAATCACGTTTACCAGAACTAGATCATGATTTACAGAACAGAGTTCACGATTCTACACACTTAATCTAGCTCGGTAAAATCTCCAACAGCCGATTACCTCGGGATTTACTTTTGCTGATATCTCTGCAAAATATCTGTTTGTTAGCTGATATCTCAGCAAAATGTTATTTGAGTCTCAGCAATTGTTTTACTGAATCTCGGCAACATAAATTGCAGAACTACTCGGCTGTTGGAATCTCGGCGAAAAATTTTAAGTGTGTATGACTTTGATTGCTTTTGTTGATGCCCGGTACACCATATCGCAGGCGTTACGTTTAATTTGTGGAAAAATGTTCACGATTGCATGATTTTCATTCAGAATGTACTTTTGTAAACGAAAAATTGATTTATGTGTGTGTGTATTCCTTCTAACCCCCACTGGCCGGCAGTTTTATTATGGAAGAACTCTCTCTTCAATGCCGCATGTATGGTCATTGTAGACAGCTTTAGTCCGGGAGTTAGATGGTGATAGCTCTATTGCAGATCCAGTAACTCATTTCAGAATGTCTGGAGAGTCACGCCCATTCCGAGGTTACTTTCACTTACAATAAGCCCCGCATGTATGTATTACCTCTATCAATTGGATATTAGTATTACATACACAAAATATACGAAAATATACTTTTCAAACCTAGCGCGTTTAGCAATTTCCTTCCGCCTTTCCCAGATTTTTCTTGTTTTCCGAGGGAGATAAATCCGCACTAATTTCCGTACATGGTTCGAT